ACAGGTTTATTTACTTGTTTTGTATTCTTATATTTCTATTTATTTATTTAACTATTTTTATTTATATATTTAATTATATTTTGTATGGATGTTTTAAACTTCTCTGTAACCTTTGTTTTGCATGGTTTTATGAGAAATAAACTATCCATCTTAGCTTAATTTGACAAAATTGAACCGTAATGGCTGCTAAAGACGAATTATTATTTCACTATTTCACTTTCATTAATGATTGAACAAAAAATATCATTCTTTAGATTTTTTATATATCTCGTAGCTAGTGCCCCTTTAAAACAGGTGGCGTATTATATATTTGTATTTGAAAAATTACGTCTTTGATTGGAGCTAAATGTCGATAACAGTTCTAAAAAAACTGACGTTTATAATTGAAACCAATACAAAATAAAATAAAAAAACGGCCTTTAAAAAACAAAAAAAAAAACAAAAAACACAGAAAATTGAAGATAAAGCAAAAATACAAAAATCATTAACTAGAATGTGTGCAGGTGCTTCATAATTTGCTTTATTTACGCATATGGCGCTTCGAATTTCATATTATAAGTTATATTCAACATAGTGCTATTGATTTTTCATAATTAGTTCTATAAATATACTTGTTTTACTTCTTGTCAGTATGTAATTTAATGTTTATTTTATAAGACCCTGAAAATTAAACAATAGATGTAGAACCCATATTCTCCGCAAAAACGTTCATCTTGATCTTTGACCAATCTACATTCTATTATTGACAATTGATTACGTAATTTTCTGAAAGTTATCTTTTAAATTAACAAGTTTCGTGATTGGAAGTCTTCAGATAAACGCACACTTAATCAAAAATCGCGTATTACGAGCACCATGGGGGACACATTTTCACCGTCATTATTTATTTTGAAATATGCATTCCATTTTATATTGAATAATATGTAAATGTTTGCAATTTTCACGAAAAAAAAAAAACACAGAAGAAACAGAAATGAACTTACATCAAATAGTCTACTAGCTGTGCATCAGTAATTTTCTGGATATTTGTTTACTGTCCGAAAAGAAGCGCATGCAAATCTCTTCAAATGAACAAATGAACATTCCTAGAGGGGAAAAGATTAAATTACCCATGAAAAGAATTTACGGTTTATTTCAGTCACAACGCACATGAGCGTAGAAAAATGGAAGGCGCGAAAAAGAAAGAATTTACAATTGAAGTTTGATTAAGGGTTATTTGGAAACACAAGAAGCTTCTCTTATTCATTGAGCAGATGGATACAAAGCATTTGGGTCACTTTCAAGTAAATTATAATGACAGCTGTCCATTTGATTAAGGTGAACGGTGCATGGTATTTTTCAAGAGGTATTTTGATAGAGATATCCACATGTTGTGTAAATTTCCTCTTCTTCCCGCTTGTTTTCTGAACGAGAGGCGAAGTATACCAAAGGCACATTCAAACTCGAAATAAAACTGATAACACCATACATAAAAAAGAAAAAGACAAACAACAGTATACAAAATAACATGGAAAACCAAAGACTGAGCAATACGAACCCCTGCAAAAACTAGGGGTGATCTGATGTGCTCCGGAAGGATAAACAAACCCTGCTCATCATGTGGCACCCTCAGTGTTGTTTATATAGTACAAATATGTCTAATTCGGTAGGTCACATTTGGGGAAAATGGACGAGATTGTAGTTACGACAATGGAACATATCCGTGGTCATCTGTGAAACAGACTTTCCATAACAGTCAACTCGTAATGGCGTCCGTACTATTTACGAAGGAATGATTTCAACTTCGCCACTTGGAACTCATGGTTAAATCGTTTCCTTGTGAGCAGCTACCCTCTATTAAAGAAACATCGTATCAACTGGAAGATACTCTGTATGCAGGCGCTGCTGGAATGTTGCTACATAGAAATGGAAAGTTCACAATTGGGATGCTGAACTCATCTCTTTTGTTCTAAAGTTTTATTTCAACCGACCCTCATTTTCGATTTCTAGATGTAAGTCAAGATATGAAACAGATTTAACTGTATCTGTTGTATCCTTTATCTCAAGTTCGATGGGGTTGATGCGTTCAACAATTCACACCATTTTGAATCATATAGTAAGAGATCATCTGTACAGAGAAAAGTGATATAAGGATACTTTAACTTTTTCCCTTCTCTATAAGACGTCAGCCTTATTTGAATAAATTAATAAATCGGCAAAAAGGGGAGCACAGTTGGTTCGAAGTCAAAGTTTATTCAACTCCGTTTCTGTACAAATGACGAAAGATCAGCATATATCACAGAGTAATGATTTATAACTCCAGTCGGGCGTTTTGTCTACGCGGGACTTAGAAGTAAAGCACTTTTTCAAACTCAACTAGAAAATATAATCAATGACAACGGTGACATGCATACACCTCGTATGACATTTAACAGAAATTAAAATTATTTTGTAACTGCAACATCTTTCTAGCAAAGTGGAAAATTCTGTTTAATATACTCAAATATTTTCGCAAACTAATGCAAAATAAAGTTTAAAAATATTATGTTTAAAGAGTCCCTGAACATGGTTTCTATGTAATTAATATACAAACATATAACTAATTGACCATGAGGTATTTAACGATTAGATCATTTGAGCGAGTAGTAGACCTATACCATTCATTTAAATTGACCTGCTAATGATTAAAAAGAAATATGATCAGTGTTTGCCAAACACATTATTGTTTGTCAACTTTAAATGTAATAAAGGCCTACATTTTTTTCAACTTGTTTCGTTTGTATAGAAAAACATTAAACATTCATGTGTAATGTATGCTCTTTGACGTACACAATATTTAATTGTTGGACGTATACGACAACTATTGAGTTAGTGACTAAAAACTAAATTAAGCAGGAGGAAAACATCATTAAGTTTGATCTTGATTAAAATATGTTGTACAGACTGTAGCAGTTTTCAAATAAAGGATTAACTTAGTGACAAATTGACAGTTTAAATGTGCAGTTCTTCTGTATTGACTAAGCAATACTAACTTTGCCTTTATATTTGTTGGTGGATACTTGTTCAAATATGGTTGAAAAAAATGTTGAAACATCTTAATATTGTTCATGCAATATCGATATGTTATATTGTAGACAATCGAAAACGAGCACAGCAAATAATGACACTCATTAAAAATTTGTGTGGCAACTGATTTTTTTAGCAATTTAATGCATTATTATAGAATGCAAATATTTATAGATAGCAATGATGCAATAATTATCAATTATATGAAATTTTAGTGTTTCCATGAGAAGGTTTTATCTCAATAAAAGAAAATTCGAGGTTATTTAAGTATCTAGTGCATACATATAAAATGCAATAGAGAGCTTTGCAAGGTAAATTAAAAACAACAAAAGAGGTAGATAAATGTTCCTACTTGCATGGCCAACATGACAAGCGCCAAGTGTGATCAGGAATCTGCTTACCTTTCCAAAGAGTATGAGGTCAATCCCAATTTTCGTTCGGTTCGTGTTGATCATTTCTGAGCTTTATATGTTGTGTTTAAGTACATTGTTCTTTGTGTTTAGTCGTTTTCGTTTTTATATCAAGTCATTTTCTATTCTTTTCGGTTTATGACTTTGACTATCCCGTCTATGCCTTCCGCTTCTTTTAAAATATATTTTGATTATTAGATATGTAAAGGATAACTTACTGGACAAAAAGTAAAATAAGAAAAATACTCCGAGGAAAATTCAAAACGGAAAGTCCCTAATCAAATGGCAAAATCAAAAGCTCAAACACATCAAACGAATGCCTAACAACTGTCATATTGCTTACATGGTTCAGGCATTTCCCTGTGTAGAAAATGGTGGATTAAACCTGGTTTTATAGCTAGCTAAACCTGTCACTTGTACGACAGTCGCATAAAATTCCGTTATATTGACAACGATGTGTGAACAAAACAAACGGACATAATATGTAAAATGTCAAAAATAGGGGTACTGCAGTCAGCATTGTGTTATAATCTTAATCACTATAAAAACAAACAAAAAAATCAACAAAGAAAAACAAAAAGGCATATAGCATGTATAGACAAAGCACATTACCAGAAACGACAGACAAGAATACCAAAATTTACCATAGCACAATAACACAATGACGGGATGTATAACTACCGAGCCACGTCAAATGGATATTACCAAAAAAATAGACTTAACAGTAAAAGTATTAATATACATAGACAAATAAAAGAATAATATAACACGCTATTATATAAACAACGTCAGTACCTATAATCTATATTTTAAGACCTTCGTGCATTATTAGTGAAGTTGATACGGAATATTTATCAACAAGGTCATGGTATCTTCCGATGAACTTTTCTCAGAAAAAGGACGAAACGTTCTTTGACATACCCTTGGTTCATCAACTTTCTGCTCAGACACTGGTGACGATTTACAAAGTCTGAGTAGCAGCTGCAAGCTCTTGAATACAGAATTAGTTGGGAAATGTATATCCAATATGCAGGTGCAGTTGGTTTATTGCTACTAAGGTGGGGGAAATTGATAATTACAAAATTACAATCGTCTCGTTTGTCATAGATTCATGTACTGAGATGACCGCTGATGTCAAATTCGAGGTATATGTCTAAAAATGTGACAGAGGAAGACGTGTCTGTTGTTTCTTTAATTTCTAGTTCTAGAGGATATATTAATGGAAACCAATCAGAAAAGTTCTTGCTTTTCGACAAATGTCTGAAGGGATTCCGACTCATATGAGCATAAAAAGAGGTCGGCAAGGAGAGGCGGACAGTTCGTTCCCATAGGACTGCAAAGGTCATTAGCTAGCTTGTAATGAATGATAAATCATATTTCATCCTACAGTGTTCCAAAAAAAAGATCAAGTTTATTTAGTTTGCTAATCTTCAAATCATCCATACATGATACTGTTTGATATATTAATAGAGTATATACACAAACGATTCAAAATATGCACGTTAAATGTAGAAATTAAGGTTGTTTTGTGCTAGAATAACTTACCGATGTCCATAAAATTTTTCCTCTTCAGAATTGAATTTCTCCAGATATTGGTAAAAAAAACCGAATCTTCCTGATGACACTTTTAAATGTAAAATGTCTACAAAAGTATTATCTTATCACAAACATTGACACACTTCAGTAAATCGTTATAGCTCAATATTTAAATAAGTTGGTACAATGTAAATGATATGTGATATATTTATATCAATGCTTTTACGTAGGTTAATATGGATTATACTCCTGCATCGAGAATACGATTTTGTCTTCACTCCAGCTGGTTTAATTCTAAAATTAGTTTACTGTAGAGAGTTGAGGGATATAGTTTTCACGATTTCCTAACATCACATCAGATCAGAGGAAATGAAGTAAAATTTGACATAAAAATTGACTTGTGGCCAATGCAAATCAAGAATCAAATACACATCATAATCAACTGTCTGGGGTAAAAATAAATCAGACAGAGTGAACTTACGGAAAAAGACGATAAATACGAAGTGAGTACGGAGTCAAATAAAGGCAACAGTACTATACCGCTGCGGGTTACAAACAAAAACCGAGGGAAACACATCTACTATAAGAGGAAAACAACGAAACAACAGAAACACTGCAGTGCAACAATATCAAACGCCAACATACATAGAAACGGACTATTTGATAACAACTGCCATATTCCTGACTTGGTACAGGACATTTTAAGAAAAAAATGGTGGGTTGAACCTAATTTTATGGCTAGCAAAACCTCCCGCTTATAAAGCAATATTAAAAAAATATCGCTAAAATGACAACAGGACGTGACAGGAATATAGTACAAACAAACGCACGAACACTCAACATAAATAAACGCATAAATAAATAATATAATAGTACATTTCAACATGTAAACCGCAGAATAACAACGGACATCTTCCTTTTACAACAGCACACCACACCGCAAACAGTGATGTATTTTTGTGACGTATATATAATCTTGAAATTCATACAATTATATGAAACGAGATCCAAAATTTACAATTATTTTCACAATACTAGTCCAAATAATTATCATGAATATGACGGTCTTGAAAGGCTAACTTTTCACTTGATAAATGTTGGTTTAAAAGTCATGTATTTTCCCAGACACTTTTTAAGTACTTTTCAAACAACTGCGTTTTATAACAGTTAGCGTTTTGAAGAAACAGTTAGCATGTAATGGTGAGCCTCACCTGCAGCCTTACAAATGATTTTGATATTAGTCATAGATAGATATAAGAAGATGTGGTATGAGTGCCAATGAGACAACTCTCCGTCCAAGTCACAATGTGTAAAAGTAAACCATTATAGCTCAAAGTACGGCCTTCAACACGGAGCCTTGGCTCAAGCTTAACAGCAAGCTATACAGGGCCCCAAAAATGACCAGTGTACTAAGTAAAGACACTGATCGTATATCATTGTGCACAGGAAATCCCCAAAGCCGTCAATGTATAACTTTATCATTAAAATTAAGAATATAATATAAAGAAATGCATCGAAAAGGAAATTATTTGAAAAAAACACATGTTGATATGAGATGTTTTTCTGCCATATAAAGAAGTATAACTACCATTGATGTTCCGATATTTGTCTATGTTAAATTCGCACTTTTCAAAAAATTGGAAGAATTTATATTTGTTTTAAATAAGGATATACTTGGCATTAGTAAAGTATTATCCTGTCCAGTACTACAGACAAAATATCACATACATTTTATTGCATATAAGATAAAAACCACTCAATGGAAGTTAACCAATCAAATTGTCACCCCCTTTTTCCAGTTTAAAAGCTTTAGTAACCATGTAACCTCAAGTTTCCAAAAATATTTTATTGACACACCAAATTAAAAATAATGATTACATGTATTTGAGACACCCCAGATATATGTTTATGACTCAGACTTTTCTCCTGAAATGAAATGCTGGGTTAAATTCCTACCACTCTCAAATTCAGTTGAATATTATTGTTCGACCCTCTGTCGTATGAAGCCGGATGTGACGTTCTATTATTTGGCAGTATAACACCCAAAGGACACCTCTATATTTACAACTGTCATACTTTAAGAATTCAAGACCATGAAAAGTGTAGAATGAATATCCTTAATTTTCATGTGATCGAAAGGAAATGCATAGTTTTTGGGTAACAATACATATATTTGCTTGGTACTTTATGTGTTATGCAGAAAGAATGATAATTACGATGTGTGTACATTTACGTTCATGTGTCCTTCGTTATGTTAGCTCCTATAAATTTCTAAAAATAACATTGGTTAAAAGCGAACACGTGGGAACCGTGGATATTGAATATATGGTCAGTGGACGTGTTATAGTTTAGCTACACAATCAGTGGGCGATGTCCATTTCAAATAATTGGTAAGTAGCAGAGCTAGTAAGTTTTCTCTTATAAAAAACTCAAATTAACATACATTGTAAATCTATTTAATTATGACGGGTTCATGCTTTTAGACATAAACATGTCTGAGAGACGCTGACTTTCTCGTTGTATATTACTCATGTTCTGTTTGATGTTTTGTGAAAATTGTGATATCAAACTACGTCTAAACTTTCCATATTAAAGAAGTCGGTAAGATAAATTCGTCACATAGAGTTTTAGTGACCTTATCTGATATAAACAAGGTCAGTAAATAAACGCAACAGTAGTATATCGCTGTTCAAGTCATAAATCGATTTAGCGAAAACAAATCCGAGTCACAAACCAAAACCGAGGGAAACACATCAGCTATAAGAGGAAAACAACGGAACAACAAAAAAACTGAACTGCAACTACACATTGGGGCTCGCTCTCACCCAATATGGAATTTACTGACCCCGTAAAGATCATATTAGGGGTAAATTCAGTAAATAAACACACGGCATTACGGACCAGCCATTTGGGAGGGATGAATGGGCGGGGGTGGGGCTTTCTGTATAAAACAGATGACCTGTGCTCCACTGGTTGGTAAATAGTTTTTGATAGCTGAATCATTGAATATTGAATGCACTTATTATTTTTACTACATGGTTGAAAAGTAATGATGTCAGTGTAGGTATTTTGTGCGAATCTACAGTGTTTGTAAAAATGTCATGTGAATGGTCCAAAAATGCTGCATGTTGTTTTAGTTGTAAAAGATCGGGCTATATTAGTACTTTGATGAATGATATATGAAAGCTTCTGATTTCGTTAGGTAAAACAGGTATACATGTTATTCAAGAAGTAGTTTGCATTGAAATCAATCTGAGATTTAAACGGAATTTACCCCTATAGGGAAAATTTGCCCTCTGTGACTGTACTTGTTCATGGTCACACAATAAAACCAAAGCTCATTTTCTGTAAATATAAACATGATAAATGCAAAAGAAGCTTTTTGGAAACAATTAGTGTTGTTTCTCCTGCAAAATCTATGTTTAACTGTGACTGACAAGGAATCACTAAGTCTACTGTTGGAGTAAGAAGACGGTCTATGGGGAAAAAAATTCTGTATCCAGAATGAAAGAAACAGTAAAAATTACCCTTGAGAGTTATAGTTTAATGTAAGACATACGTATTCTCCGTATTTTACATCACATTTTGCACATTTTTCTATTTCCCTTTATAAATGGGTACCAGATTTTGATGAACAGTTAAGAATTGATGTAAACAGTTTTTTCTGATGTTTTTTGTTACACCACTTTTAGTGGAGGGTTGAATAATGAATATGATGAAAACATAATAACCCCGTAATGTTCTTTGTGCCTGTCCAAAATTAGAAAACTGCAATTCAGTGGACGTCGTTGGTTGCAGATTGTTATATTTGTTTTTCGTTTATTGTTTAGTCATAAATCAGACCATTTCTCGTTTGAATATGTTTTCATTATTTTTATGTCAGAGACTGCGATAGCTGACTATACTTTATGGATTTTACTCTTTGTTGAAGGCCATACGGTGATTCGTTGATGCTTTCTGGTGGATAGTTGCCCCATCGACAATCATACTACATCTATCTCCCTGTGTTAATAGTAAAGAGAAACATTTAAACCGGTCTTGAGAGTCTGCTACTTACGAACTGTTCCCTTTGTCCTGGTTTCACTACCACCGGTGGAGCTTCAATAATACACCATTGATGTATGATTCGGGGTAAATCAAAGGGTATTTGGTCCAGTTTTCTACTTACACCGTACAGGCAACACTATAACCGGAACCACCTAAAAGGCCATTAAGTACACTTGCACCGGCATTTACAGCATTGGCAGCCGTTCCAGCCGCTGCTATAGCAGCTGCCCAGTCTATTAAACCAGTCACTCTGGCAAATAGCCCTGAAAGTTAGAAACATCTAAAATTGTTCAAAGTAAAATATAACTGTTTTTCAAGGCATTTTGAAAATAGAACTTTGTGAACGGATTTAAATTTTATAAATCACTAGTACCTTTATGTCAACATATTCTTAACTTCAAAATAACACAGATTATATTCGATTTCACGTTAATTCATATCAACTCTGAAGATTCTTGCTATCACAAATGACTTACAATCGGCAAACCTCGGCATTTTCCGCTACCTTCCCAGCAAACACACAACATTTTAAAAACATTTTTCAAATGTCATATGGACGTCTCTCACAAAATATTTCAATAAGATATCATTTAAACATAAAAAAAATGTTTATTTTATTGTTTTTGAAATGTTTTATTTCTAACATTTAAGTAAAATGTGTTTACAACATTAACAAAATATTATTTGCTAATATCTTTTATTCATGTTCTCAAACATTGTTCTAAAATATCCCGTAGATATTTTATAATATAAAAAAATAATATTTTCTTCAATTGGTATTTTATATTTTAACAACATTTAAAGTAAATATTTTCAAAATATCCAAAAAACATTCTGCAAAAAAATGTTTTACAGAAAATATAGTTTTGCTATTTGCATAAAATGTTTTATAACGTAAAATTAAAATGTTTTACATAAAAAATCTGAAAAATATCAGCTAAATGTTTTCTATAAAATATTTTGACATACACATTATTTAATAGTCTTACTGATATTTTATTCATAACATTTTATTTAAACTTTATTCAAAACCCCACAAACAACGTTTTGTGGAATTAGCTCGTTTTTTTCAGGATAAGATATAGT